GGTCTTTTTAAAAAGCAGGCTAAATAAGTAGCTACTGAGTTAATAATGTACATAAAAAGGACTCATCAAGTGACTATAAACATTTATAACTGATATGGTGTTTGATTTGGTTCAAAAATCATTTATTGAGCTCCAGTTATACGCAAAGCTCTGTAGATTCAAAGATATGTCATACCTCTATCCTCAAGAAACTTCACAGATTGAATATTATGGCAACACAGAAGTGGGAATTTAGGTAAGCCTGAAGGAGCCAGGAAAGGCTTTATTGAAGAGATACTTGAATTTAAGGCTTGGGTAAGAACTATCTAAGTGAAGAAGGAGCTGAGCAAAGACAGAGGTGTGAAATGGTATGGAATGTTTGTACAACTAGCAGCAGTTGAACAATACTGGAGCCCAAAGTATAGGGCAGGGAAGAGTGATAACATGAAATGAGGTCCAATCAGAGGGCCTTATTCCATGCACTCTTGGACTTCGGACTAAACTAACGGAGTGCCATTGAAGAACAGATCACCCTGGGAACCAAGACCAAGGGGGAATTTGAAGTTGGGAGGCAGAAAGACTGATTATGAGTTGGTTGAAGTAATTTAAGAAATGATGAGACCCTGTACAAGGAATGTATAAGTAGCAATAGGAATGTATCAGATAGGTCATATTCCAGAAAAAAACTGAGGCTGTTGAATGATGTTATCTGAAGGGTGGGATTTCCTGATCTAAATATCTCTCTTAGGGCCTCTCCTATGCCTGACACACTATCAGAGGTTCCTTCTGGCAGGATTTGAAGAGGACCTTACTAGATTGGAGTTGATCAATGCATTTTAGTTTTGGTCAACTAACATTAATGTGTATTATGCAAGTTTAATGAGTAAACAAGGCCTTGAAGGGAAGAACATGCCTAGTCATGAGAGGAGAAGCAAGCAAAACAAGGGATAAAGCAAAACACAAGACAAAACATTCAGGCCACTAAAAGGCAAAGAAACTTCACCATTGGCAGACAAAGTCGCCATTTTAGCTGGGTTGGCTCTTCTCTGCTACAAAATCCATTTTCAGTCAGCTTGGGTATGCTATTCCAAAACTCCTTCATGTGGAACACTGAAGTCTACATAAGGATAATAATAATTATTATTATAAAATGAACCCTAGCAAATAAAGAAGAACTGTGACTTCTGAACTAAGGAACATCATGTAGGGACAAATTAAGACAGGAATTGGGTCTTTAGAAAGTTGCTTAGAAATCAGGTCACCTCAGATCTTTCCCCCATGACTATCAGTAAAATATTGGCTCCTGTATTTTCATTTCCAGTAAGTGTCATGTTTAACTTGGAAATCTGACAAATACCAAAAACCCCTGCCCCATAGTTCACAGTATTATTGGGAGACGAAATGGGACAAAAAGAGGCATAAGCTTGTGTGTGTTGTACAGTGATAAATGACAGTATAAGCAGCCCTCTTGCTCGAAGGAGAAAAGAGAACAGATGGGATCTCCGCGTCATACCCTTTGCAAGGACTGCTCAGCAATGATTATAAAATTTTAGTTCTTCAAGGCCATAGTACTTTAAACACTTTCCTTAAGACTCAAGATTAACGCACACTGTGAATTTAAAAGTAACACCTAAAAACAGACACTAGTACATTTCTAACAAATGAGCTCTTTCTAATAAATCAGCTTCTATAATGAAACTCTTTTGTCACAAATAAGCATGTTAGCAGAGAAATTTATATATGACTAGATTATTAGAATCATATTTTGTTAGAATTAGGAAAGGCTTAGTTCATCTCTATAAACTCTCTTCCCAGCCTCTTCCCCTCACCAACCTTTCTTACAACAGGAAAACTGAGATAAAGGTTGAACCCAGACTAAACTGTAGATTTCCTGCTCCTGGTCTAAGGCTCTCTCTTCTATAAAATAATTTTTAATAAAATATTTCAAATATAAAGAAAAGCATAATAACAAATACCCAGATTTTTAAAATGTTAACATCATATGCTTTGAATCTTTTTTGACAGGAAATGGCACTTTAATGCTTTGAATCTTTTTTTAAAAAGAACTAAAATATTATGTATCAGCAGATGATGCCCATTCCTCTATCCCATTCCCATACCACCTTCTCCAGAAATAACCACCATATTGAGGTTGTGGTATATTCTATTCTTCCTGTTCATGTTTATATACACTCAAATGATTATATATCCATAAACCACACCATGTTGCCACAAAACGAGTTGGTCTTCAAAACAAGGAGTCCCTCATTCTAGTACGTTTGCATGCAATTAAAACCTTTGCGGCTTGGCTGGGTATTTCAAAAAGAAACTAGGGCAGAGCTTAAAGTCTTTTTTAATGATTACCATAGAAGGATCTAGTGATGTGTCTTACGATTTAGAGTGAAAAATAAATTTTAGGCAAATGTAAAATTTAAATACAACTTTTTTTTTTAAATCCTTCTCAAGTTAGCACTTCATATTTGTGAAACCCTGGTTTATAATGACCTAGTGTGAATGACCTGTCACGGAACAATAGGGAAAGATGGATTAAGCAATTTAACTAGTAATAATAGCTTCTACTTCTGCTTCAAGGTCCAGCTCAAATGTCACCACCTTAATGAATCTGTTCTTGATCCCATCAGAATTAATTCCTTCAACAGTCATTTATTGAGTGCCAGAGCCCTGTAGATACAAAAGTAGATCAGACCCAGTTCCTGCCCAGGGCTCAGAAATAATTACACAATAGTTTTTGATAAATGCTCTAACAGAGGTATCCATAAAGGGTTAGTGAAATCTATACTTTTCCTGGACCAGTTGGAGAAGACAATACAGAGGAGGCGATATTTGAGCTGCATCTTGCAGGATGAGTAGGAGCTCACAAAACAGAAGATAAAAGGTCATTCCAGGTAGGGAGACACTGAAGGAGAGGGTACAAAGGATGGTAAGGTATCAGTTTTAGAAAGACAACTAAGGATAGACATCAGAGGTATAGGGGTAAGTTAGAAGACTAACAACAATTCAAGCAAAAGATGACATGATTATAGGCATGAGGTGGGAGGGGGAAGGATTTTAACAAAATTTGGGAGATAAATTTAGCAGAATTTGAGGCTTCCTTCGAGGGAAAGAAAGAACATGGAGGAGTTGGGGATGACTCTCAAAGGCTTGGCAAAATGAGTGGGCAGTGAGACCATTAACTAAAACAGGAAATACCATACAGAAGATAAGAAGTTTCCTTTGAGGCTCTTAGAGTTAGCAATGAGACCTCTTTCTTGGGCCTTAAACAATTTCCTTTTCTAGGCCAGAAATCACCCCTTCCTCTGAATTCCATAGCATAAGGTATCCCTTTTCCACATCAGATTATTTAAATCTGCTGTATCTATAAGTATTTACAAGTTTGTCCCTACCTTAAACCATGAAGAAAAAGTACTAGGTTTTGTTCTCTGCGTATTGTCCTTATATCAGAGCCTTAACATACAAAAAGCCTCAGCCAAAGTTTGCATTCTTGAAAAGGGAGCTCCATCAGATACTAGAAACTGTCGGTTAACGTTTATCAAAACAATGGCCAAAACTTGTGAGTTATTGACTTATATAAAATATCTAAAGCATTTGGTCTATAGCACCTGCTTTTAGATCCTTTTGTGCTTATCTTATCTTACTTTTTTTTATTTTTTAAGTAGGCTCCACGCTCAGCGGGGAGCCCAACGCGGGGCTTGAACTGAGGACCCTAAGATCAAGACCGGAACTGAGCTAAGGGTCGGATGCTCAACCAACTGAGCCACGGAGGCAACCCTATCTTATCTTACTTTTAAACAACCCTGCAAGGTAGTTGTACTCCTATTTTACAGATAAAGCAACAGAAGGTCAGAGTGTCTGAGTAACTTTCCTGGAGTCACAAGGTTTGCAAGTTGCTGAACCGGGATTTGGGCCGACTGGTTTCTTCACCAGAGTTAAGCTGCTCTGTTCTAATTCTCACTTGGGCTTAAAAGTAGATCTTTGGCTCCTGAGGGGGTAGCACTCTCTGGTTCGGCGGGAACTGCGAGAGGGCCCTCACCCCCATCAACTCATTGAGTCTAAAGCGCCCCCCTCCCAGCAAAGTGCCCATGCGGGCACATCCACTGCAGACGGCGGAGCTGAGAGGGGGCCCAAGGGCCCGGAGGGTGAGCTCCCTGCCTGGGGACCCAGCATTTTGCGGTATTCACTCCACGAAAGCGCATGGGATCACGTGACCCTTCGCTCAAGTGAAGCGCTGGCCAGGCTCGAACCCCGAAGCCCGGAGTGGGCGCGTGCAGCCAGGGCCTCCCAGCCTGGCCCCGCCGGGGGTGGGTGGCGGGGTGGGCCGTGGAGAGCCATAAGTTCTCACAAATACGGGGCACTGGAAAAACGGTGGTGCAGTTACTGCCCTTGGGACACTGAAACTCGTCCCGTACCTTCCTCCGCAGTCCCGTGCGGTGGGCCGGCCCGCCTGGCAGCCCCGGTTCCGCCGACCGGAGACCGAGGTCGGGGCGGGGAGAAGCCCTGCCCACTGGCTGCGGCGGGAACCGGCCCCACGAGGGTGCGACCGAGCGGGCCAGGCGTTTACCTCAGACCGCGCCGCTGCCCCCCGGAGGCCGCGCCCAGGGCTCCCTCACCGCCTCTCCGGGTTCTCTGTCCCGCCCGACACCTCCGGCCAGGAACCGGAGGGCGAGGGAGAGTGAGAGGGTAACAGAACGCTTCTGGGGACTGGCGCGAGAGCCTCCAAAGGCCGCAAGTAGGGAGCAGCAGCAGCTCCGGGCGTGCGGCCGAGGCGCGAGGGCTCAGGGCGGTCCCGCCCGTGGAAGGGGCGTGTCCTGGCGCGTGCGGAAGGAGGCGCGAAGGGCAAGGGGCGGTCCCACCCGCGAAGCCCTGGAAGGCGCGAGGAGGGGGCGTGCCTCACGTGAGCCTTCCAGGGGCCGAAGGTGCGCGGGTAGAGTGGAGAGCGCGTGCGCGGACCTGGTTGTCGGCTCCTCCTTCTCCTCTTTCTGGGGGCAAAGGGTAGGCAGTATTAGTCTGGACGTCGGCCCCTCAGCCGCGCTTGCAGACTCCGGCTATGGCGGGGCCTGAATGGGAGTCGCTGGAGCAATGTTTGGAGAAGCATCTGCCACCCGCAGACTTGAGGGAGGTGAAACGCATTCTCTATGGCAAGGAAACCAGGTCTGGGGCCCAGAGGCTCGGGTGGGGAGATCTTGGGGCCAGCGAGTGTGGGTCTGGGGAACCAGGGAGAGTGCTTCAGGATCTGAAGGGTTCTGAGGGGGCGATGAAGATCGGAGTTGGTGAGCAGAGGCCTTAGGAGATCTAGATGTGACGGCTCTGGGCCTCAGGGCTTCTCCAGCCCCCGAGTGACCTTTACAAGCCACTTCTCCCTTTCTGGCCCAGAACTCGGAAGGGGAAAAGAACCTGGAAGGGAAAGGACAGGTTTTTGCTCCCTGTCGCTTTCCCTGTGGCCACCCAGCTCTCTTTACCTACTTCCAGTGACCAGCTTCCTCCCCAGAGGCAGGCCTATGCTCTGGGGGTCTGTCTGGGTCAGTGCCTCCAGCCAGAGCCCCTAGCAAGTCACCTGACTGTCCAGGCCCAGCCCTTACTTCTTGCAGTGACTGGGCCTCTGGCAGATCCTGGAGGTAGAGGCTGGTTGAATCTGGTTGGAGTAGGAACCTTTTCCTTTGGCAAGGCCCAGGAGTTAGTTACCACACTTAGTGCAAATGTTTTTCCACTCGCAGCGAGTCGTGTGCATCACTAGGACTTTCTGAGGTTAGTGCACTGCTGGACACTGGGTATACAAAGCTGGAAGACACTTTCACTCTTGGTTCTCTTCAATCCACTTTTCTCCAAGCAACCCAGAGATGTAAATCATATCTTGTTGCTCCTTTGCCTAAAACTTTGTGAAGGAGGGGCACCTGGGTGGTTCAGTCGGTTAAGCGTCTGCCTTTGGCTCAGGTCATGATCCTGGGGTCGTGGGATCCAGCCCCTGGTTGGGCTTCCTGCTCAGCGGGGAGCCTGCTTCTCTCCCTCCCTTGGACCCTCCCCCCCGCCCTTGTGTGTGCATGCTCTCTCTCTCTCAAATAATGGATGGAATCTTTAAAAAAAATAAAAAACTCTGAAGGATTCCCATGGCTCTTAGAATGAAATCCAAACTCTGACCCCATGCAGCTCCTGACTTAATCTTCTTCCACTTCCTTGCCCATTGGTGGGCTCCCCACCCCCAAGTCAGACTGTGCACTTCCTGACCTTGTGGCAGTGACCTTGAGGCAGGAAACTGATAAACCTGAAACTCAAGGGTGTTGATTGGGTCAGTGGTTCCCAGCCGCTGGCTGCAGTGGGAGTTACTGCGGGGAGGCCAGATCTCAGATCTAAGAGAACATAAAGTGAACTTCACCATCTGCTAGTGAACAGAGCTAGTGGATGGTAAAGGTAGAACAACTGCCTTTGGGGGTAGGAGTGGTACAGAACTCTGTTGAAAAGGGCTCTTCATACCCAAAGAGGGATACCCAGGACTGGATGACCTTCAGGGTCCCTCCAGTGAAATCATGCTGACCTACTACTTTCCACCATACCTGTCAAGAGGGAAGCCTCTTAGAGTTGAAGCTGTTGAAGGTGTCTTAAAGCAAGGGTCTCAGGATGGGAATAGGTTTGTTTGCTTTGTTTTCTTTTGTTTTGTTTTGTTTTTAAGGATGAGGTGGGCATATTCTTCTGGGAACAGAAATGGGGAGAGTTTGTGGTGTCAGAGAGAGGTAAAGCACAAGAGTCTTAGGAAAAGAGAAATGTTTCTCATGTAGGTGACTGGCTGAGGCACATTCTAGAGACTGGGATAAGGACTACCTTGCAAGAGGGACCTCGTGTGAGCATTTGGATCTCTCCAGAGTGGGGAGGAATTATAATGGGTGGTAAAATGAGAGCCAACATCCATTAGCCAGTGATGACTGGGCCTCATTGAAGAGCTTGGCTTATAGTAACTATTCATGAAAGGTTCTCTTCCACTCTGCACTGAGGCCTTTCAGGCTTTACCTCTAGGGTATTATCCTTTGTACATGCTCAGTCCTTGCAATTGGATGGGATTTGGCTATGCACAGGATTGTGAACTGAAGATGGAAAATCATTAGTCATTTAAAAACCTTCTCCCACTTAAACCCCTGCTCACTCCTTATAGCCTGACGAGAAGCTATAAGGAGTGAAGGCCTGGTGGAGCCCGAGTCCTCAGCCCCTCCCTCAGGACTCCTGACTGCCTTCCACACAAGACCACCTTCTCTCCCGATTAATTGCTGTGCCCAGCACAAAGATGATGCTTAGTAAGTGTATGTCAAGTGAATGAGCTAAATGGGCTTTTGCCTGGGCCAGGCAGATGAAATCCTCAAAGAGCATGGACTCTCAATTTTAAGACAGCCAGAACCAAGAAGCATTTATTCATTCAACAAACATTTAGTGCATGTTTATTTTTGTCCTGGGCACTAGGAGTACACGCTTCCCCCGCTGGAGGGGCTTTCCGCCTTTTGCTGGTCGCCATACATGGTGAGAGAAGGATGCCAGGAGACCTGGAGAGAGTGTACATGAACAAAGGTGGAGGTGAAGGAGATGGAGAAGTTGGTTTGGAGACAGGAAGGGCTCAGGTGCTCCGGGCCAAGGCCCAGACACCAGGGAGCATGCTCATTCAGGGACTGCATGTGTAGAATGCTTTGGGGAGGAGGCAAAAGTAGGCACGGTAGGCCCAGGGACTCTGTACACCATGCTAAGGGGGCAGAACCTGTCCTAATGGTGGTGGGAGTCTTTTAAAGAATTTGAGAAGAGCAGGTGGAAAGATGAGGAGGCCTAAAGTAACAGAGTGCCTGGGAGCCAAGAAGAGGAAGGGTTCCAGAGCTCTCGGGAGGTCAGCAAGCGGTGCGGATAGCCAACACAGCAGAGGAGGCAGATCAGGTGGCTGGTTCATTCATTTAATGAGGAGCAGCTTTGGGGAAGTCTGATGAGTTGAATTGAGGATGCTGTTCAGTTTCCTAGGGCTGCTGGAACAAATTACCACACGCTGGTGGCTTAAACCGAAAGCAATTTATTCTCACAGTCCTGAAGACCAGACGTACAAAATCAGGGTGTCAGCAGGGCCACACTTCTCCAGAGGCTCTGGGGGAGAATCCTTCCTTGCCTTCTCTAGTTTCTGGTGGCTTCTGGCATCCCTTAGCATGTGGCAGCATCACCCTAATCTCTGCCTCTGTCTTTACATGGCCTTCTCTTCCCCTGACTCTCCCCTGGGCATCTCTTATAAGAATACTGGTCACTAGATTAAGGGCTTGCCTGGATAATCCGGGATGATCTTATCTTGAGATCTTTAATTACATGTGCAAATGTCCTTTTTGCAAATAAGGTCTCATTCACAGGTTCTGGGTATTAGGATGTGGATGTATCTTTTGGGGAGCTTCAGTTCAACCCACTACAGGAATTGTGCAGAGGTGGTCCTCACTGGGGGAGGCTGGGCTTGGGACTGTCCTCACTGCAGGCGGAAGAGTGTGTACAGAGTGGGACAGGCCCAAGGAGGGATTCAGGAGAAGCTGCTGTTAAAAAAAAAAAAAAATCAGAGGAAGTGGAGACTTTGCATGGTACTCCGGAGGTGAGGAAGTAGGGATCAGGGGCCCGAGGGCAAGTATCAAGGACACCAAGCGGGATAGGGACAGAGTGTCAAATGGTATAGGGAGGTCTAGAAGGATGAAGACAGGAGTGTGAGTCTCTCCCATTGCTAAAGCCAACCAGAAGGCTGGTGGCAATTCAGAGTGGGGGAGTGGGCCCCAGGGAATAGGGGGCTAAGGAAGGTGTGGGAGGTGAAGGCTTTGGGGAAGCTCCCTCTGAAGGGGAGGTGAGGAGGGCAAGTGAGGTAACAAGAGGGACCTGTGGAGAGTGCTTCCTTTTTTCTCTGTTATTTATTTTTTTAATGGGAAAGATTCACATAGCTTTTTTTTTTTTTTTTTTTTTTTTGAGAGAGAGGAGCATGAGCAGGGGGAGGGGCAGAGGGAGAGGGAGAAGCTACTTCCCACTGAGTGCAGAGCCTGAGGTGGGGCTCAGGCCCAGGATGCTGAGATCATGACCGGAGTCGAAGTCAGGAGCTTAACCAACTGAGCCACCCAGGTGCCCCTCAAATAGCTTTAATGGTGGATGTGGTAGGTCTGTAGGAGACAGGGAGAAATGTCCAAGTTATACATATTGTTAAGTAAGAAAGGCAGGTGGAAGAACAGAATATACAGAAGGACACCAATGTAGTTTACACACTTATAGGAAAATGTTGGAAAAATACCTACAACATTATTAAGAGGGGTAGTCCCTGAGATTCGGGACTGGAGCTGAGGGGCGGGATGGAGAGGGGAACTCAGTTTTCATTTGATATCCTTTCCACTGTTTGATTTTTTTCTCCCAACGAGCGTGTGTTTCTTTTGTAGCAAAGCTCTAGTTTAATTATTTAAAACGCTGATGGTAAAGAGCTATTAGAGAGGAAAGATGAAGTTCTAGAAGCTAGAGGTTGCAGAGGAGGCAGGAGCTGGGCTCCCTCAGACGAGGTCTGCCTTGACCCTGGTGGGGGAGGTGGGACCAGGAGGGTATGTTGGAGCCAGAGCAGGAAATGATGGGCTCTCCTCCTTGACATTAGAGGTGAAGCCATGTGGGGCCTTAATATCAGGATAAGGGGCGGAAGGGCAGAAGGCTGACTATAGGGACCAAGGGAGGGTTTCCGGCAGCATGGAGCCCTTCTGAGGTTGTGGTTCATCTACTGGTCTCTGCCTCAACCCCCCTGCTGGGCCATAGCCAGTCTATATCCCACCACATCCCTATGCCTGGCCTGTGCCATCTCAAGCCTAGGAAAATGAGTGTCTGCAGGGAACTGGGTGTGGGAGGGATGGAGGCAGCACTCAACATAGTGACAAGGCAGGGAGCCTGCACATCACAGAATAACGGGGCTCATGGTGATGGAAAGATGGGGAGAGCCAACAGCTATGGGCATCGGATGAGGAAAGACGGCCAGAGGCTGAGGGGCATCTGTCATCCAGGTGACGGCTACAGGTGGGCTTGCAAAGGTGAGACCAGATCTCTTCCATCTGCTCTCTTCCTGGGATGAGACCCAGATGGAGGACAGGCCTGCCAAGAGGTCTCCCAAAGGACGGTCCTGCTCCCCTGCCCGAGGGCCTGAGGGGAAACAGACGCACAGAGCCCTTCTCCTTTTTCTCCTGTCCTCCGTGGTGACTTGTCGTGGGGCTGAGGGCTGTGGCGGGGGAGCCCTCTGCTTGAGGGCAGGAGGACTGTGTCTGAGACAATCACGGCAAGGGGAGGTGCGGTGTGGGCAATGCTGCTATTTCTAACCTGCTAAAGTGAACAGAACCCTGACTAGTTGAAAAGCAAGCTGATTGTCAGGGGTGGAACCCAACTTGGAGCTGTCAGGGCCGTCACATGGAAACCGCCTGGCAGGGGGCGGCGACAGGGGGCTTGGGCTGACAGGGCTGTGATTTTGAAAGAAATGTCTTTAAGAAAGTGATTTAAAGTAGGAGAGAAATATTATTATTAGATAATGGCTGTCAGGTTATTTTTTGATGTGTTCTCTGAGTATTTCATAACCATCTCGCCCCTAGATGGTAAGGCCTTCCTGGCCAGAGGCCATGTCCTGTGCACCTGCTGGTTTCACCTCAGTGCACGGCATCCAGCCAGCATCAGGAGGTGTTTGCCGTTTGGCCAGTGGTCACTTAGGTGGAAGGTTTTATAAATAATCCATTTGCCTTTGTTAATAGGCATCCACAAACCAGGATGAGCGCCTGCACCTTTGGTCTGGACACCTGGGTCCCACCAGGCCCCCCCACCCAGCACCGGGCATAGGACTGCCCCTGGTGGGAGCGGCAGCAGGACAGGGGGATGGGGCTCACCGGAGACCTGTAACCTTTATTGGAGAATGGTCACAGGACCCCCCTCATGCTATCAGTCCCAGCCCCTCCACCCAGCCATCTCCTAAGCCCTGTCCTCAGCAGTTGCTCTCAGCAGAGCCCTCTGATTCTAGTCCACAGACATTTTTGGAAATCCATTGCCTCTCTTCTGTGCTGACTGCTGAGACTTTAATCTCCACCCTGAGGTCAGCAGCTCTAAAACATCAACCTCTTGACCAGTCACCCTACAGCCCCCCTCCCTGCTCCCGGGCTTTGCCAGGCCTGACCCTGGCACCTCCCTGGTGAAGCCCATACTCAGTGTAGTGTCCATTCTCCACCAGGCAGGGCCCCCCCTCCTCCCAGCCCCCGCTCCAGCTTCCCATGAGTGGGCCCTGGCACTGGGTTGCTCTGTGTGCCTCCTTGCCAGATGCCCCTGCCTCCTCTCTACCTGATGGGTGACTACAGGGGGTTTGGAGGGGAATTTTCAACTCAGCAGACCTCATGCAAATCGTTTCCCATCTTTCCTGCCCATTTAGGAAGCTTGATCTGCCCAGCAGGGCTTTTGAAGCCGCCTCCGAAGGGGACTTTGAGCTGCAGGGGTATGCCTTTGAGGCCGCAGAGGAGCAGCTGAGACCTCCTCGGACTGTGCGTGTGGGACTTGTTCAGAACAGAACTCCCCTGCCTGCAGATGCCCCTGTGGCAAAACAGGTGCAGCCTCTTTTGACCATAAATACATAAACGGAGCAGTTGGCCCGCTCTGTGTTTTGAACACGTCCACAGTCCCCAGGTAGCTACTCACTGCAGATCCATAGGCACCACGAGTGGTCATCTAGATGCTTCTGCCCTGGCCAACCCCCTTCCCTGTAGCCCGCATCTCTGGCTCTTCTTTCTTGTCTGGCTCCTGCCTTCTCTTTGCCTTCTCGCTCCTCAGTGTTTTCCCACCTTCCCCTCCACGTCCTCTCCTGCGATTGATCTGAGGTTCCATTTCTCAGTGGGGAGGGTGCCCTTTGTCTGGCTCAAGCTCTCTCTGGAACTCTCCCTCTCAGTCTTTTGCCAGAAGGGTACTTGCTAGCACACGCCGGTCAGGACCTGTCTGTCCGTCCATGATCCTGAGGGTGGGGACTCACCAAACCCAGATGTCTGTCAGCTGATGGTGCCTCAGGGTGGTGGGAATATGATACGCATTTCCTTATGACCTTACGGTTAATATAAATGTGACAGCATTCTTGTATGTCCCTAAAGAAATATGTTGTCACAGACACAGGCGATTTGTTTACACTTCTTCACAGCATTCCTCCAGCTGCTCAAACTTTTAAGGCTTTCTCTGCAGAGGTTTCCTGGGAATACAGCATGCTTCAGAACTCCTAGGGATTATCGAGAAAAGGTCAATTGGATTCCAGGTCAGGTTCTGCATCATCTTTCTCTTTGGTCCTTCTGCTTTTGTTGGATTAAAAGATTTCTGGTTCTCAGGTCACTTTTTTGTCTCTGGATTAATTGACTGTGAGTATGTTTCCTCAACCATCCCAGATTGTCAGGGGCAGGGACACTGTTCTCACCCCCACGGCACCTAGGAGCACACTCCGCACACTGTCAGCACCTAGCAAATACCCATGGAGCCTTGGAGTGCAGTCTTGAAGGGGAGAGACAGCATCGTGAAGAGTTGTTGCTCTCTGGGTTTTCAGCCTGGTTCTTCGGGTCTTTCTCTGAACAGACGGTTCCAAATATCTCCTGGGGGCCAGGCATTGTGCTGAGGACACCAAGAAGTTGAAGACAACTTTCCTCCTGCCCCTAAGGAGCTTGTGGGGTAATGGGAGTGACAGACAGTGGGGAACACAACAGCACAATGGCAACAGCGCCACCATAGGGACCTACCAGGGCGTGCTGAGGCACCTCTTGATGCTCAGCCTTTTGCTGGGAGAGTCACTCCTCTGTGGGTGACGCATGACAGGAATAACACATCCAGGGAAGATTGGGTGGAGTGGGGAAGTACATTCCTGAAGGAGGACACACCTGGAAAATGGGATCCATTCATTCAATGATAAGATACACACAGGAAAATGGAAGTGGCAGGACAAGTCATACCGGAAGCCTTGAGTACAGAATGGTAGAAAGTGGACTCTGTCCTGAGGCAAAAGGAGCAGTTAGCCCAGGGGATGGCCAAAGTGTGCACTGGGTGTGGGCCCCTCTTGCAGTAAATAGCAGATAAGCTTATACACTCCTCTGAGCAACCCTTTGGGGCAGATGGTGTTCTCCCTATTCTCCAGGTGAAGAAACTGAGGCTCTGAAAGGTGGCATCGAGTGTGTGGGACCCTAGAGCCTCTGCATCTCCACCTTTTATTTATTTGTTTATTTAGAGCTTGTGGGGGAGGGGTAGTGGGCAGAGGGAGAGAATCTCAGGCAGACTCCACTGAGTGCGGAGCCTGACGCGGGGCTGGATCCTACAACTCTGAAATCACGACCAGAGCCAAAACCAAGAGTCAGAAGCTCAACTGACTGAGCCACCCAGGGCACCCCATGCACCTCCACCTTTTACTGCAGATTTTGGGCTTGATGCGAGTAGGCTATATCAGAATATCCCCACCTTCCTCATCCTCTTGCCGCTGCCTAGGTGGGGGGGGTGTTCCTCGTCCTTGTGGATGAGTTCGGAAAATAGTCTCAACCAACAGGAGAGAATAGGTTCTAATCCTTGCTTTTTGAATTGCCAGGTCACTGCCCTTCACAGACGCATAGAATCCATTGTAGAGGTGGCCGCTGTGTGCGGAGTGAACATCATCTGTTTCCAGGAAGCATGGAGTAAGTCTCTCCTGGGGCGCTTTCTCTCCTGCCTTCAGATAATAGTGTATTATCTCCATGTCACCAAGAGGACTCCTTGACTTTTTAAAAAATCTCTTCTCTCATCTGTAGAAAGATTCTTTTGTCAACGACACCAGAGAGCCAGGAATCCTGGCCTCCACACACCCCAGTCTGTTGTCTGGTCCTGCCAGTTCTTCCTCCCAAACGGTCCTGAACCCATTCAGTTGCTCCTACCCACCTTCTCACCACTGCCCTGGCCCAAGGTGCCACCAGCTTAAACCTGCCTTCTGTATTTGCTTCCAGCTGGTCTCCCTGCACTCTCCACTTTGGCCCCTTCTAACTGGCTCTTCATGCCTTCTAGGAAAGATCTTTACAAAACTCAGCTCTGTACTGCTTAGTCTGTTCCTTCCGCCTCCTCTGCGGCCTCATCTCGGCTGGGTTCTGCCCTGAACTTCCGGATCCTTCACTCCCCTACAACACCCTCTCCCTCCTCCCAGGCCACTGCAGCAGCGGCTCCCTCTGGCCTGGCCTTCATCCCCCTTGCCCTCCCCTCCCCCTCTCCTTGCCTTTTAGACCCCGTCCAGCCTTCACATAGAAGCTCAGAGCCCACCTCCCTATCTCAGGGTATGTCCCTATAACCTACCCCTGATACCATATACCTTTATTTTCTTTTTATCAAAGTTCTACATGCTTGTGGTTGGGAGTCAAATGGTCTACAAGGTCTGTTACCAAAAACTAGCTGTCTTCCTCCCCAGAGGCAACCACTTTCTACTCTTGGCTGGTTCTCTGGGAATCTACCTTTGTGTTGCTGCTTCCTGATTGTTCAGTTTCATACCATCTGTTACCTTCCCACTGTGGAAGAAGACAGCATTAGTCCCTTGCCTCCTCTGCCCAGTCTGTTCACACATACCCTTCTTATCTTCCATCCATTCTCTGCCAAGCCATTTTGTAGACTTAGATTTCTTTTCCTGAATCACTTTCTGTTTTCCCCAGAATTTGCTTTGTTTTCTGTACACCTACCCCAAATTCTACCCCAAACTTATTTCCAGCTTCCTAAATCCTCTTGGGAGGTTTAGGCACGTAAAGCTGTCTGTTGGTTCCATCTCCTTTTTTTTCAATTGTAAGTTTTCATTTTAATTCCAGTTAGTTAACATACAATGTTATGTTCATTTCAGGTGTACAATATAGTGATTCAGCAGTTCCGTATATCACCGGGTGCTCATCACAAGTGCTCTTCTTAATCCCCATCAACTATTTCCCCTGTACCCCCTACCTGGTTTCATCTCCTTGAAGGAGTATGTCCCCAGAGCCTTCTGACTGCTCTAGTCTGAATTAGTTGCCCCCTCTGCTGGCTGCACGGCTGTCATCCTGGGATTTCCCGTCACCATCATGCTGGGGAGTTCCTTTAGCTTGCTCTTGGGTTGCTCCTATCCCACATCTCCCTCTTTCTTGCTTTTCTCCCTCTTTTTGGTTGAGTAGTTTTCTGAGAAAGAACACATAGGAGGTTTGAGACCTTTTTGAGACCTTGCATATCTGACAATATGTTCCTCCTACAACTAGTTCGATAGTTTGGTTGGGTATTGAATTCTAGGTTAGAAATCATTTTCCTTTGGAAGTTTGAGCACATTGCTCCCTTGTCTCCTGGCTTTGGGTGTTGTTGACTCGTCTAAAGCCCTTTTGACTGATGAGTTTCTTTTTCTCTAGAAGGTTGTAGAATTTTCTCTAATGCTTTGAAGTTTCATAATGATATGCCCTTGTGCGTACCTATTTTATTTTTGTCATTAAGTCATCAAATATTTATTAAGCCTCTACTATATGCTGGGTGCCACCATAGGTCCTTGAGATACAGCAGCAAGCCAAAAAGAGAGACACCTCAGCCCTTATGGTGCTTCTTGTGGGGAATGGGGAGACAGTACATAATGTGTGTGTATCTGTTTTAATCCATTATTCCAGGAACTCATTGGGTTCCTCTGCTAGAAATCTGGGTCCTTCAGATCTACTGTTCATTAGTGATTTTCTCCCCTCTTTTTTCTTTCCTCTCTTTCTGATATTCCATCCATTAGGATGTTAGAACCCTGGGCTAGATCCCTAATTTTCTTAAGTATTTCCTCCTATTTTTCATCTTTGTCTTTTTGCTCAGTTTTCTGGTAGATTTTATCTTGATTTGCCATTCAGTCTTTTGTTTCTGCGGTCATATTTTGAATTTACAAAGAGTTCTTTTGGTCTGTAAGTTCCTGTTTTATGACATCCTGTTCTTATTTTATAATCGCAGTACTTTTCTCTTGTCTCTGAGAATGTTAGGTAGCATTTTTTTCTCCTTGCACATTTCCTACTTACTCCAAATTGGTCTTTTCTCCCCAGCTGCTTATATTTTAAGAATTGGGGGTTAAAAAGCTGATTGCAAACTCTCTGAGTTTGTGGGAAGAGCTCCTTCCCACTGAGCTTCATGAGAGGATGACTTGGTTTAGCTGTTTGTTAGCTATTCCTTCATAGTAGTGTGTTTGGGTCATTCTTTTCAGGCTGGTCAGAGTCCCCAGAGAAGATTCTTCTTACCTCCTGCCAAGAAGAGAAGGAGGATAAGGGTCCGGTGTGCCAATGTTTACTGAATCCTTCTGTTTTTGACACTCTACTCGTCTTCATCTGTCCTGGCTTCCCCAAGGCCAGAGGCCTTCTGTTTAAGCACCTCCAGAGAACGAGACTCGAGCCTTCTGCTGGGGTGGGAGGGACTCGTGCCAGCCTTGTGCAGTGGAGGAGGGATCTGGGCTTCTGACTGCTTCTTAAGCAGACTTTTGACCAATTTCTGTCTGTCACCCCTCCCTGCTTCCCCACCGTCAGAGCCCCATGGTACCTCTGACTCCTCAGCTTTCCAAGGGTGTATGGTGAAGAACGGTATATGGCTTCCTCTACTGCTGGAAGCCTGAATTTTCTGGGTCGATCACAGTATCTACCCTCATCCCTTGGCTCTCCAGCCTCCCATGTTCTGTTGCTCTTGTCCTTTTCTCGGTGCTTCATTCTCATGGGTTTGTACCTTTGCATAAAAATCCCTTTAGTGTCATTTGGTGTGGTTACAGAAAAGAGCAAAGGCTTGCATCCAGTCTGCCATCTGTACCCAGAAGTTCATCTTGTTTTCCGTGTTCCCAGTTACTTATATTTTCACTCATTTGGGCAACACTTTTGATTTGTCTGCCTCTTCCATTAGACCATAAACTCCATGAGGTCATTGCGTGGTGTTAGTTTATTTTTCCCATTCTAATTATCACCCCTATTTTCTTAACATTAAAAATATTTAACTGTGATAAAATATATATAACACAATATTCATCACTTTAACCATTGGTAAGTGTACAATTCAGTGACGTTAAATGCATTCACAAAGTTGTGTAACCGTTACCACTATCTATACCCAAAACTTTTTCAACATCTCCAACAAAAACTCTGTACTCATTTAATAATACCCCTCCATCCTGCACCTCTGATAACCTCTGTTCAACTTTCTATCTCTATGAATTTGATTACTCTAGGGACCTCATGTAAGTGGAATCATATAGTATTTGTCCTTTTGTGACTGGCTTATTTCACTTTAGAACAATGTTTTCGAGGTCCATCCATGTTGTGGCATGTGTCAGAATGCCTTTCCTTTTTATGGCTGCATAATATTCCACTGTAGAGACCACAGTTTATCCATTCCCACACCCCTGTTTTATCTTTAAAAAAAAATTATTTATTTGTTAGAGCACGAAAGCGCAAGTTGCGGGGAGAGGGTGGAGGGAGAGGAAGAGAGAGAATCTCAAGCAAACTCCCCGCTGAGCAGGAAGCCCGACATAGGGTGAGATCCCGTGACCCTGAGATCATGACCTGAGCCAAAATGAAGAGCCTGACGCCTGACTGACTGAGGCACTCAGGCTCAGCTTTATCTTTAATGAACAATCCCTGCTATATGACAGACAATATGTTTACGGGATGGTTTCACCAACTTCTTCCTTTTCTTGGACCTGGAAAACTCCCAGTCATCCATCAAGGTCTAGCACAGACACGCCCTTCTTTGGGGGACCCTGGGAACTCCCCTGCATAGAACTGAGCACTCTGTGGAATCGTGCAGCCACACGAGGTTATAATTCAGTTCCCCCCATCTAGGCTGGCAGCTCCTGAGGGCAGGGCCAGGTCTAAATTTATTTATTTACTTATTTATTTATTTATTTATTTATTTATTTATTTATTTTTAAAGATTTTATTTATTTATTTGACAGAGAGATAGAGAGCACGAGTAGGCAGAGCGGCAGGCAGAGGGAGAGGGAGAAGCAGACTCCCCGCAGAGCAATGCGGGGCTCGATCCCAGGACCCCGAGATCATAACCCGAGCCGAAGGCAGACGCTTAACCAACTGAGCCACCCAGGCGCCCCCAGGTCTAAATTTAGAGCCTGACTCATAGAGTGTTGATTCAATAAATAAGGAACCCTCTTCCCCTCTAATCTGAAAGCTGTGGAGTTGGACTTTGCAGCCAGGCTCCCGCCAACCTCCATTCCCCATTCCTCTTTGGAAAGTTTGTTTACAGAGGTTGTGTAAACAGGAAAAGAAGCCATTAAAATGGAAATGGAGAAATTTGGAGAGCTTAGCAACCTGAAATGAAGTCAGAAAGGTAGGTTTTATTCTCTTGGGGTATTTGAGGCTCTCCTAATGTGCTGAAAGCTGAGAATAAATGGTCATTAAGGATCTTTTTTGTCATTAACAGCTTTTTCGTTGGCTTCCTTAAAATAGTCTCTCCCTCTTTCCTGAAGGCAGGCCTGGGGAGTCTTGAGCCTGAGGCCAAGGCCCCTGGGGCTGTTACTGGCAGAGCCTGGGTGGCCAAGGTGGTGGTGGTGCCATTGGTAGCCTCTTCACCCTGGCCATGTCTTAGGACCAGCAATCCTACGACTGAAAGGAATTGGAAGACTGATGCTTCTTTTCTCTTTCTTCTCTGTGAAATGAGGAGAGCCTTCCCTACTTCACAAGGATATGGGGACCAGCTGCCTATTACTGGGCCCATGGCCCACGTTTGGGAAAGGTTGACTACAATTAGTAACCCCAAACAGGCCACCCGCCACATGCCGTGACCACTTAAGGCACTTGCCATGCACACCACGCTGCTTCCTGAATACCCTCCCTGCAGGTTAGTCAGTTCAGAGCGACGTGAACCATAGCAAGCATCTGGAAACTTCCATTAGGCTAAGCTCCCTGAAAGAAAATGGACTTGGGTTATTGGAAGGAGGAAGGTCTAAGGAGTATACAGAATTGGTCCAAAGAATTCAGTCATCCAAAGCAAGAAGAAAAAGACAAACAACCTGTTAGGAAACGGGCAGAGAGTTAGGAACAAGACTGCCTAGAGGATGAACCCAGAAAGGCCAGTGACCATGTGGGAAGGTGACCATGTAGGTGAGGGAAATGCATATTTAATCATGGTGCTATACCAGCTCACACCATCAGACTGGCCGGCACTAAAGAGGATGGGAGCGATGGAACACACGTAGCCAAAAATCCCTGTACCCACCCTCATTGCAGCCCCCACTCTCCCCCACAAAGGCAAGCTTCATTTTGAACCCGGTATATGTAGTGTTCTGTGAATTGTTACTACATATATAGGTACCTGCTGTTTGAAAAATAAAAAGCAAACAAAAATCAGCTAATGAATTTAATGAAATTTCTTATTTAATTAGCCCCCTGATGGCATCTAGCCAGAGAACATGGGAATAATGCATTTATTCTTGGGGAACATTCAGTCCATCATCCAGCGGTTCCCAGACTTCTTATGGGAGTTCATTAAGTGAGTGGCTTTTCTTGTTCCTGAACAAGCCTCTCTATCCCCATGAGGAGGAACATTTCTATGGTGATGTGTCCAGGGTCCCCAGTGCCATCCTCAGTGGCCCTCTGACACTTTCCCCAGGGAGTCTTGGCCTTGCTTATACCAACCCACAGATTAGCCAGCAGTTTGGGATCCAGAGTAAAATATATATAAGATCAACTTTACCACGTTAGTCATTTTTACACAGATCAGTGGCATTAAGCACATTCACACTGTTGTGTAACCATCACCATCATTCATCTCCAGAATTTTTTCCTCTTCCCAAACTGAAACTCTGTCCTCCCCCACCCAGCCCCTGGCAACCACCATTCTAATTTCTGTCCCTATGAATCTGGCTATCCTAAGTACCCCCATCTAAGTGGACTCCTATAGCATTTGTCCTTTTATGACTGATGTATCACTTAGCATAAAGTCTTCGAGCCTCACCTATATTATAGCATGTGTCAGAAGTTCCTGCTTTTTAAGGCTGGATAACATTCCATTGTATGGATACATACCACATTTGGGTTTATCCATTCATCCATCAATGGACACTTGGGTTACTTCCGTCTTTCAGCTGTTGTGAATAGTGCTTCTATGAAATGATTATGCAGATATCTATTCAAGTCCCTGAATTGTTTTTTCCCTAAATTCAATTGTTTTTAAGACTGCAGTAAAGAAATTTGGCCCAGCCCTTTGTTTTGCTATGAAGCCTAGAAGGTTAGGGTCTGCCTTGCGCCCACATTCGGGGACACAGGACCCAGAAACCAGGCTGAGACCCTCGGGAGCCTTGTTATCTTGTGGAGACCCTCAGCTGCTGGGCCGAGGATCGCCCCCTCCGAGGTCACGAGTGTTGGATGTGATTCTGACTTTCTCCTCTTCACAGCTATGCCCTTTGCCTTCTGTACGAGAGAGAAGCTTCCTTGGACGGAATTTGCTGAGTCAGCAGAGGACGGACCCACCAGCAGATTCTGTCAGAAGGTACAGGTCACAGAGCATGACCACAGCTGCTGGCTGTGGCCCTTCACCATGGAAAATGCACCCATTTGGTGCTTGTTTTGCCAAATGAGATTAGATAAGACTATTTGCTGCCCTTTTTTTTAGTGTACTTTCACTTGAAATCATAGACTTTCAGAGCCAAGAGGGCCCTTAATGGCTTTTTCAGGTGAGGGAGCTGCAGCCCAGGGAGGGGTGACCTCCCATGGCAGGTTCTGCCGTTGGCAAGTAGCAGAGGTGGCCTTCGGGGACCAGGGATGAGGTTGATTCCTTGTCCGGACCTCTGCTGCTGCCCATGTTGTTTGCCTGCCTTATGTAAGCTTCTCTGTGTGGCCTGTCTCATCAGTACCGAGATCAATCTTCATTTTTCTTTGTTAAAACCTTATAATGTTGTTTGACCCCACTGATATGAAACGTCCAGAGTAGGAAAATGAATAGAGGCAGAAAGACATGGTTGCTGGGCAGAGAAAGGGATGGGGAGTGACTGCTAATGGGTGTGGGGTTTCCATTTGGGGGTAATGAAAAGGTTCTAAAATCAGATTGTGGTGATGGTTGCACAACTCTGTGGATGTACTAACAACCACGCAGCAGCACACTTTATTTTTTCCCCCCTCGCCCATCAGCAGTGACCCGAACAGCACACTTTAAAAGGATGAGTTTTGTACCATGCGAATTATATCCTAATAAAGCAGTTCTCTCTCTCTCTCTCTCTCTCTCACACACACACACACAAACCCAACCCATAACAACAAAGAGGTTACGAATGATGACTTATCCTTATTATTTTTTTTTTTATTTTTATTTATTTATTCATGAGAGACAGAGAGAGAGAGGCAGAGGGAGAAGCAGGCTCCCAAGGAGCAGGGAGCCCGATGCGGGACTCGATCCCAGGACCCCGGGATCATGACCTGAGCCGAAGGCAGGCGCTTAACCATCTGAGCCACCCAGGCGCCCTGACTTATCCTTATTCTTAACAAAGCACTTTTTTCACTTCTCCATGTCCCATTTCAGATTTTATACGTATTTTTAGGGGATTTTTTTGAGCAGAACTATAATCATAGTGATTCTATCAAAACTGAGTCGCAATTCCAAACATCACCGTTCTCATGCTATCAGAAAAAAATCTGTTGTCTGCCAGGTTGTTGATTCCTTGCTGTGGATAAAAGAGAGGGGACTGGTTAAGTGGTGACTATAGACAATACACTTGAACCAGGGCCAGAGGAAGAGGAAAGGGGGAATAGGGGATGAGAACTGGTACCAGGGACACCTGTCTGCATCAAGAGGGGCCCAGGACCCATGGATGTCCTTACATGACTTGGAACATCACCTTCTGCCCTTTGTGCCTTTCTCCATCCTTAAGGCCAGAGGTGGTGACAGGCTAGTTAGAGTTGAGGACAGATGACCTTCTGGGGCTGCTTATCCTAATGGTCACCAGGTCCTTAATATTCTTATGTGAGACAAAAGGAATTCAGCATCAAAGAGTTTGGTTTGGCTTGGTTGGTATGATGAAAAGTATGAGGAATATTTTTTTTTTTTATTGTGGCAAACAGCACATAAAATTTACCATCTCAGCCATTTCTAAGTGTATCGTTCAGGGGTGCTAAGTACATTCACATTATTGTGAGACAGATCTCCAGAACTTTTTCATCTTGTAAATCTGAGACTCTGTACCTATTAAACAACTCTCCACCCCCAGCTACTGTCAGCCAATATCCTACCTCCTGTTTCTATGAATTTGATTACTTTAGATACCTCACATAAGTGGACTCATTCAGTATTTGTCTTTTTGTGACCGGCTTATTTCATGTAGCATAATGTCTCCAAGGCTCATGGTGTCATGTGAATCACATGTCATCCATGTGAAGACAGGATTTCCTTCCTTTTTAAGGCTGAATAATATCCATTGTATGGATATACCATATTTTTAAAAGATTTTATTTTTATTTTTTTTTTAGATTTTATTTTTAAGTAATCTCTGCAGCCAATGTGGGGCTCAAACTCACAACCCCGAGATCAAGAGTCACATGCTCTACCAACTGAGCCAGTCAGACACCCCAGATATACCACATTTTATTTATTCCTTTATCCATCAGTGGATTTTTGTGTTGCTTCTACTTCTTGGCTCTTATGAAGAGTACTGCTATGATCATTGGTGTGCAAATATCTCTTCAAGATATTCTTTCAGATATATACCCAGAAGTGGGACTTCTAGATCATATGGTAGTTCTATTTTTAATTTTTTTGAGAAACTGCCATACTATTTTCCACAGCCGCTGCACCATTTTACATTTCCACCGACAGGACACAAGGACAACAGTTATTCTTACTTAGCTCAGCTTGGGCATCAGGACAAGGCTGGCGTTCAGTCTTCCAAAGAACAAATACAAATGATAGATAGCTCTGAACCAAGTCAAATTATTTAGTAGCATCATTTAATTCCTCAATAAAAAAAAACCTATGACAGTCAATTTAAAAGTATGACTCTGTTACATTCCTCATCTTTGCAGCTGGCAAAGAAGCACAACATGGTGGTGGTATCTCCTATTCTGGAACGAGACAGAGAGCATGGGGACGTTCTGTGGAACACAGCCGTGGTGATCTCCAATTCCGGAGCAGTGCTGGGAAAGACCAGGAAAAACCACATCCCCAGAGTGGGCGACTTCAACGAGGTGAGCTGGCCCTACAAAAACCCGCTCAGCTTACTGGCCCTTCGGTCTGCACCTGCCTGTGGATCTTTCCATGAGGGGAATCCTGTGTTGGATCATGTCCCGTCACACAACACGGGAACACGGTATGGCTGTAGTGATCACATGGAGAGATGAGATTTGAATGGGACTCCCAGGTGAGTCCCAAACACCAAGCACAGAGGGATATTTATTTTTTTTATTTTTTTAATACAATTTTATATAAAATTATTATATAAAAATAAATTTTTAATTTTAAAAATTTCTTATTTAATTTATTTATTTTTAAACATTTTATTTATTCATTTGAGAGAGAAGGGGAGAGGCAGGAAAGGGAGAAGCAGACTCCCCACTGAACCAGGAGCCTAACACAGGGCTCGATCCCAGGACCTGGAGATCATGACCTGAGCCGAAGGCAGACACTTAATCAACTGAGCCACCCAGGCGCCCCTAAGATTTTATTTATTTATTTGAGAGAGAGAGTGAGAGCAAGAGAGAGAGCACGAGCAGGGGGAGGGGCAAGCAGAGGGAGAAGGAGACTCCCTGCTGAGCAGGGAGCCCAATGCGGGACTCTATCTCAGGACGCTGGGATCATGACCTGGGCTGAAGGCACTGAGCCACCCAGGTGCCCCTGGGTATTTCTTTTTTTAATATAACCTGACTTGGCTTTCTTAAATTCATCTCTGAGGTAAGTGGTATATAGATTAAAACCAAAATAAATAAAATAAATAGTGCACAAACATGAAATGATTCCTGCAGCCCCTTTCAGGCTCTGAGCTCCTCACCTGTCACAGTCTAGCCCTCATTTGGGAAGTGTCGATGTGTTGGACGGCAGGAGGTAAATGCACTTGTCTGTGCACATGGGTATTAGGTAAAGCTTTGTGCCTGTGATCAAGGTATAAATGAGGAGAGCTATTCTGATTAGTTAATGCCAATGCATGGGTGGATTGGGTGAAGAGGGGTGGACTCCACCTAATACCTAAGATACGAAACCTGAACTTGACCTGCAGTAAATACAGTTGTTCAGAATGTGATATACCCAGTCCTTTGCTGCCCTCCCTGCTTGTGGGGGTTCCAACTACACTCCCAGGCTGGTCAGAAGGACAAGGAAGGATCTACAGAGCTAGATGGCGTTCCCTAGGGAGAAAAAAAACCCTGGTGTCTCTCAGTGACAGCTGGAGGTGGGGGTGGGAAGATGTGCTCATCACCTGTTTACCCTGGGATTAATCTTTAGCTCCCAGCAGATAGTGAAGGGCTTGTCTCAACACACCAGGATCTACTCCGGTATCCACCACATGTACACATCCTGGTTGCTGCCTGATCCTAACACATTTTGAAATTAATGGGAAGAGGCAAAATGTTCTGGGAGCAGATCTGCTTGGGACCCCAACTAGCCCTCTAGCCCCTCCACAGTGCCAGCCATGAAAATGTCCCAGGGCCAGCACCCCAAGGGGGCAGGCAGAGAGGCAGACATGGCCAGGACGTCCCTAGTCCCGGGCAGAATGCCCAGGGAGCTCTGTGGAGGAGAGTACTTTCAGGGTGTGAGCTCTAGTCTCAGATTGGCCTTCATCAGCTGGACAAGTCGCATGGCCACTGAGGCCGTGGTGTTCTCCCCCAATAGGCGGGGATTGCTCTGTATGAGTTTCCAGTCCCTTCAGCTCTGACATTCTTCATAGGAACATGTGGTTGGTGAAGACATTGACTAACTCGTGTTAACATTGACCAAACCTTGACGATTTGTTGTAGGATGACTGAAACCTAATCAAAGTTTATCCTTAAAATACTGAGGGAAGTTGCTTCGGGGATTTTTTTGGACGTGCCACAAAAGAAACTGTGGGGAAAAAATTAACCATGGTGATTTCCCAGTTATTGTGTCTGGTTTCTTCGGTTTCTCTCTCTCTCTCTCTCTCTTTTTTTTTTAGCAGATTGAAATTTGGGAACTTAGAGTCGCAGCCAAGATTGTTACTTTTGGAGTCCTGGCAATATTTTCTTTTTTTCTGTCAGGTCTAAGGAAAGAGAAATTGTACAGCTCAGAGGCTTTCATACATGGTCCTTTGTTTTTCAGTCAACTTACTACATGGAAGGAAACCTCGGACACCCCGTGTTCCAGACTCAGTTCGGGAGGATTGCGGTGAACATCTGCTACGGGCGGCACCACCCTCTCAACTGGCTCATGTACAGCATCAATGGGGCTGAGATCATCTTCAACCCCTCAGCCACCATTGGAGCACTCAGGTCTCTCAGCAAGTAGGATCTGGGAGGGTTCTTGGGACCTACCTCTTTTCGGCTCATGGCCGAGCAGCAGGGTTCAGAGGTGGGTTTGGTAAACTGTAGCAGGCAGGTGAGGCCACCAGGTTGTCTAACAAATCTGAGCCATGGGATTGCAGTTCACCAACTGTGAAAAAAAAAAAAAATACTCAACGTCAATTAAGATCCCCCCTCCCAAGAGCTGCTTTGCTGTAAAATACTATTCCTTTGCTATTATTCTGAACACTGAGAGGATAACAGTCCCCCTCCACTCATGCCATAATTGTCAGGCTTCCAAAAAGTTCCTCTTCTAAAGTGCCCAGAGCATAGTAGGTGCCTGGCCAGAATTAGCCCCCTTCCCTGTCACGGCCACTGTGCTCCCTGACAGAGGGACCACAGATTCCTAAGCCTCTTGTCTGCGACATCCAGCACATGGAGGGCAGACAACTGGACGAGGGAAGGAACCAAGGAGAGAATCAAAGCCGAGAGGGTCCTTAAGAGATCAGCCAAGTGGCTCTGAAATTTGTTTTTAACCAGCAAAGTGTTTTCTTCTAACAGCTAACACGAGTTTCGGTGTTAGCCTCATCCTGAAACAGATAAATCTATCTTGATGAAGGCAGTGGGGGGACAGGCCCTGGCAGTCCCTGGGCCCCTGCGCAAGACCCCTGGGGCCCTTCATTTAATAATGGCGGGTGAGCTAAGATGACCCAGCATGACTGCACTTCCGCTGCTTCTCTCCTCCCCAACGGCTGAATATTTGGGTGGTTTCCAGTTTTGCATCATTAACAAGTACCAAAACTCTAGGAATTTATGTGGAAATATCTTTCTCCCCAACTCACTTCCTCCAAAGCAGGATTCCCGAAAGTGGAAGTGCTGGCTTTCACTCTCGTTGTCCTGGTTGCCAGTGCCCTAGCAGTGGGACGCTGGTGGTGGGGAGGGCCCTGGTCCCTCGGTGGGGAGCAGCTGGGACAGTTCTGGTGGGCAGCTTTGAGTTCCCTGCCAGCCTACCCCTGTCACTCTTCTCTCTTGACTAAATTGCAGTCTAATTTCTTCTGAAGGTCAGAATGTGACATTTACTTTACCTTTTCTTCTAAGCACTGTGCCCCCTTCTCAAGAGCGACATCCCCACAGCATTCTGATTTGCACAGCAGGTCCCTCAGTGAGCCAGAACGCACACCTAGTGGGCTCCCTCAGGTCAGCTGCCCCCTCCGTGCACCCGAAGTTTCTGTCTGTGTCCTGGAGGGGCGCTGTTGGGCAGAAGGGGAAAAATCTCATCTTCGACATCCCCTGAAGAATCTCCCTGGAGCCTCATGGCAGCTTGGTTACTATGACAGAGTCCAAAGGCAGTTGTGATGTAGGGTAATTACTGGTCATTCAGCATCTGGACCTGGGCAGAACCGGGCCAGCCCCCTGGAGCAGCCTCCTCCTGCTGGCCATGTGTAAGGCATTCAGCACGCTCCATCTACCTGCAGGGGTCCCTCGAGGAACCTGAAGCCGATGCGCTGAGCATCTCTGCCTGAACTGGCTCTTGGGCCAAGGCAGGCAAAGCTGAGGACTCAGGCTCACACGGCCGCATCCCTGACCTTATTCTGTCGGGCTTTTATTAGCCCCAATTAAGCAAACAGAAGCACCCCAATGTAATATGCACATAACTGCTTGCGTCTTCAGCAGCCTAGTAGGCTTATTAAAAATTACTGATTTTCCTTCCTCAACCAACAATCATCCAACTCGTGCCTTTCAAGGGTATGATGAGGCTGTCAGTTAAAACGATAACAGGTCCTTTGGAAAGTAGTGTGTTTCATGAGCTCCCAAAATGTTCACACCCTTTGACCGGATAATTATACTCCTAAAACTTTACCTGACAGAGTGTCTAAAAGAGGAGGAAAAGGCTGTATGCATGAAGATGTTTCTGGCAGCTTTATTTATAATAATAAAAGAGCTAGAGGTGAGAGAAATGTCAGAGTTAGGTAAATTTCAGCCCATCTCTTCCATGTTAGTGAACAGCCACTCAGAAGTCATCCTGAAGATAATGCAGCCTCATGACAAAAGCCTGTGAGCAAGGAAAGATGTTTCCAGGCTGCGGTCAGAGCTCTGTAAACATCTTTTGCCAAGGATGGATGTGGAGTGTGGAAAAATTACAACAGATGGTTTATTAGGATGGTGGGATTCTGGGTGGTTTTCTTAAAATGATGATTATTTATGGAATTGATGGTGAATGTTTTTCAGCACAAGGCCAGGTAAATCCCTACCAGCTGCATATAAGCAATGGCTTCTGGAACCATCCATCCCTTCTCTGGCATGTCCTGTCTCCCCGACTCCCACATGCTCTGTGGGTTGGTGGGGTGTTCTCACTCATTTTGGGGGTCCCACGGTTCTAAGCACACAATAGAATTGAAGTGTGTTTTGATGAACAGAGTCGTCCTGATGGTGCCATGCAGCCCATGTGGTCTAAGGTTTCGGCCACATATATGTGTGAATAGGAGAGTCGTGCCTTCATCCCTTCGATGCGTGTCTTCTTCCCACCATGATTATTTTTAGGGGATAGTGTAGCCACCCTGGGAATAAGGCAGATGTCTCCATGCCCCCAGTGGGCTTTCTGTGCTTCCCGCACACACTGGGCTCTCATGAACCTCCAGCTTCCTCTCCCTTGCTTGTTTGGAGAGCCTAAGTTTTATTGCCAGCTGTGGGTTTGAGTCCTACGCAACGTACCCTCCCAGGAGAATTGCAAGAAAGATGTTTTATGGCACTCACCCTGCAACTGTCTATTTAATTCCTGAAAATGTCATTTACGGGTGTGTTTCTATAAAAATCCTTTCTTAAAAGTTTTGTCAGCTTGGCTTAGCAGCTGGGGGGAAAAAAGCAGCAAAATGAGTCCCCTCAATCAAGCCTGTGATTTTTTTTTTTCCAGACTCGTGAATCCTCCTGAGAATTAGGCTTATCAAGCACCCACTCCCTCCACCTACTCCCAGTTTAAACCAGGTGCATACTGACAGGAAGAAAGATTCCAGGGCATTTTGCTCCCAGTCACTTAGTGTTTCTAAGTGGGCATTATGCCTGTCAATCCAGAATCCTAATGATGTTGTTCCTCAGACAAGAGATAATTGGTGACAAGAAGGCCCTCTGGACTCCATGGCCCATTGTAGTTGGTGGGCCGGAGAAGGGCGGGGTCTTCAGTTGGGACATCGCTTCCCATCATATCCTACCTTTGTGTGCGCTGAACTGAGGAAGGCCTGTGCCCTTGTGATGCCTCCTTTCTGGGCCAGTAAGAGGGCCAGGGAGCCTCTGCTTAGAGTCTCGGGGCTCAGAAGAGGAAAACAGGAAGGCACTGGGAGATGGGGACTGGCTCAGGGGAGATGACACCTGCTACAGAATCTACTACCCTTTCCAGTTACCTAAATTCCTTTCAGGTTTGCTCTGGGGACTGCTTTGCAAGGCAACAGAGCAGGATAGGGATTAGGGCAGCAGTTGGACCTCACAGAGGGCTGTGCATGAGCCCTTAGGCCCCCAGCTCCCTTCTAACATTTGCCAGGTGAGGCCCTGACCAGCCTGGAAGGTGAGTTTCTCACCCAACCCAGGAGGAGGGAAGGAGAGAGAACTAGCAGTTACGGAGTTTCTGCCATGCAGCCCCCTCTAGAAGCTTCACCGGTGTGGTCAGTCCTTACAATATCCCTTTCAGGAAGTTTCAGAAAAGAAAACTGCGGCTCAGGGCTGCTTTGGCTTGCAGCAGGCCCGCCCCAAAAGGCTGCTTGAGCTTGAGCACGGGACAACCTGGCCTGCCCGTGGGTTTGGGGACATCCGCAGCCACACCAGTCTCCCTGGCCATCCCCGCTGCAGAGCCGAGAAGGCCGGCAGCCTGGCTGTAGCTTGGGACCAAGCACCCAGCCCGTCTGGCTGGGAAGTCAGCCACCTGGTTCCTCTCGCTTCTCCCTCACAGTGAGTCCCTGTGGCCAGTTGAGGCCAGAAATGCAGCCATTGCAAATCACTGCTTCACCTGTGCCATCAACCGAGTGGGCAAGGTAAGTCCCCGCGGTCTGGCTGGGCTCCCGGGCTTGGTCAACCAGGTGTGCTGGGGAGGGGACAGAACTGCTAGGAAAGCTGCCTGCCTAGAGGGGGCCTGGCCTCTTCAACCAGCAAAGGCCACAGGGAAGCAACTGTCTGCTGGCCCCAGTGGGGACACCACAAACCTCTTGTCCTTGTCCCTGTGTGTGTGCCACAAGTTCTAGGGTCCTGGAAGAGGGGAGATCGGCTTGGTCTGTTCCTTTTAAAGGTATTACTATGTCTCTCTTCTGTTTTTGTCTATTTGGGTTTGTCGCTGAAACTGTTTTGAAAGGCTCTCACCCTGTCACCACCAAGTCTCCTGTTTCATATATTTTTTTAATTTTTTAGATTTTCTTTCTTTATTTATTTGACAGAGAGCGAGAGAGGGAACACAAACAGGGAGTGGGAGAGGGAGAAGCAGGCTTCCCGCGGAGCAGGGAGCCTGATGCGGGGCTCGATCCCGGGACTCTGGGATCATGACCTGAGCCGAAGGCAGATGCTTAACCGACTGAGCCACCCAGGTGCCCCTCCTGTTTCATATTTGTCCCCATTGACCCATGCACTGAGTGAACTTGACTACAAAACACAATGTGTTCGTTACATAATAATCCTCTTCCTCATTCTTATTAATCGGATGTCAAACTCTGATCAGACATCTGCTCAGGCTGAGATAATCAAGGTTTCTACAGTAAGTTGGTCCAATTTCTGGCAACATGAAGAAACTCAGTGTTTTCATTAGCCTGTATAACCCCATCACGGCTTGAGGTACTGTTTCCGTTAGGCTTTGGGGGAAATTCTGATGGCAGTGTGTGAGCACCCCTTTAGTCCCCTCAGAGACCCCAAGCTGGGGCTTTATTTCCCAGGCAGACAAACCTCAGCCACCTTCCACAGGCCTGAGAACCACTCTGCTCAACGTCTTTTTTTTTTTTCTTCCCCCTCCCAGCAGATTATAAACTCTGCAGAGACAAAGTCAGGGTTTTTACCTTGCCTGTCAAATTCCCTGCTGGCCGCCTGTGTTGGCCCAGTGCTGGCGACTCAGCGGGGAAATTTCATAAGTACTTGTTGATTGCCCAGCGAGTACAGGCCATTCCTTCTCTCCCTGTAACTTGCTTCCCTAAGTCCTCCTCAGCCGGACTTTGCGCTGGTACGTACTGGTAGTGCCACCTATAGGTTTTGCCTTACCTCAGTTTTGTTTCACAGGAGTACTTCCCGAATGAGTTTACCTCTGGAGATGGGAAGAAAGGTATGTTCCAGGAATTTCCGTGGTTGGCTGCAGCTGAGGCGTGGGCCTCACTGTCCCCTTCTCTGTCTGCCCCCTCCGGGCAGGGTCTGCCCCACCGACTGTGGTCTGCACATGTGGCCCATTGTCGGAGGGGTGCTCTCCTCTCCTCTTCGTGGCCCACAGTGTGGGAGCCTGACTGTGGCTGGGTCCTGGGCTTGTGACTACCTCATTCCCCAATTAGGGATTGGATGGCACTAGGTTGGACTCCATCCCTCCCCTGGGACTGGTAAGGAGATGGGCCTATAAGACATGGAAGAGCCTTTTGTGGGCTCCCTTGAAAGAGGGGGTGCTTTATCCACCCTACACGTCTCCTTCCCTCTCTTCCTTTGTCCTTGTTCACCGGCCACCACATCCCATCCCAAGATGCACAAATGTCCCAGAACATCAGCATGGACTGCCTTGGGTTCCTCAGACCGCAGCTTGTTTTGATCTGAGGGCAGATACCACCTCACCTCTGGTAGGAATCCCCCACCCACTGGTCCCGGTGGCTAAGAATGTGGAAGGCAAGGGCCCACCAAGGAGGTCTCAGAACTGGCTTAGGGTATCCCCTGGAGAAGGCAGAGAGGACTGAGCAGGTCTGTTTTCCCAGAAAAGCACTTACTAAAAGGGTTCCAGATCCCCTCACTTGAGGTCCAGAGTGTCCAATCCCAGTTAGCTCCCTGCATAGAGAGGTGCAGTGAGGCAGGGAAATGAGGTCCACTGGGTGCTTTCCGTGTCCAAGCCCCTCCTAGACCCTGCACTGTGCCCACCTGTTCCTTACAGCGTAGCTGTTAGCACCACCCGACTTGTGAGGGGACTGAGGCATGGAAGGAAGGTACAGCAGATGCATCTGGGAAGGCAAGTGAGGGCAGAGTCCCTAGCTCACCGTGTTGGGACACCACAGGAAGCAGATCACACAGGAAGCCCTGCAGAGCTGTATGACTCCCTTGGGCTGTGGGTGACTAATGTTGGGAGTAAGGGCTAATACTTCTACAAGGATGACCTTCAAGAATGTTCCCAGGGGCAGAGGTGAGGGCTGTGAGGGTGACTTTTGCTCAGCCTCAGGCCTGAGGAGGGAGGCAGGTTGTTTGAGGGGGTGGCACAGGGATTCCAGGGAAGCTGAGGAGGGTGGCACGGACACTTTGTCCTGGGTGTCGCTCAATATGCCTACCTCTCGGCCTGCACAAGCTCACGGATGCTTTCCTTTGCTCCTCCAAAGCTCACCAGGACTTTGGCTACTTTTACGGCTCGAGCTACGTGGCAGCCCCGGATAGCAGCCGCACCCCCGGGCTCTCCCGCACCCGGGACGGGCTGCTGGTTGCTGAGCTCGACCTGAACCTCTGCCGGCAGGTGAATGACATCTGGAACTTCAAGGTGGGTCCCTGAGTCTGCTGCTGTTGCCCCACTCCTCTGTTTGGACACCCATCCTGCTCTCAAGAGCTAGAAACCACAGCTGCTGGGTTTGCTCTCAGGAGCGGCCAGATGAGGCTCCAAGCCGAGCAGAGGACCGGGTCTCTTCCTCCCAGAGCTGGTGTGCGAGGGAGGAGCCACTGGGTCAAATGATGCCCAAGCAGCCGACCTTAATAAATTCTCCTCTTGTCTGATGTAGATTCTGGGCGCCTTCAAACAAATTAATCTCAATTTCATTTGTCCGGAGAATAGAGTGGATTGGCTTCTCTAATCCTTTTTTTCCTTTCCAGGCATTTGCACAAGATAAATGTGGGTGTCTGGCTCTGCCTGTGGCCTGGCCCCATGGCCTAGGCCTTGACAGTAGAGGGAAATGGGTCACACAGAGAAATGGAATCTAGGCCCGGCTCTGCCACTGCCTTTCTCAGTCACCCTGAGCAAGCCCTTTCTGCTCCCAGGCCTTAGTATGCCTGTTTGTAAAACTGGAAGATCTCAAGTGGCCTTTGAGACCTAACACATGTGACACCAGGGGTCCTGGGAGGAGCGGAAGTGCCCACCCTCCTGGAATGGGGTGGTGGCGTCCATTGGACCCCTGGAATATACCCTCTTATTCTGGATGCAGATGGAGTTTGCTGCATTCGTGTCCAGCAGTATTTCTACCAACTCAGAACCCACTTACACATGCAAATGAAGGTCCTCATGACTGCATGACTTTGCCCAGCGTGTCTGGGAGGAATCACCTCCCCCGTTTACCTGAGCATGGGTCTTTGGGCATGTTCCCTGAGTCTCAGATCCTCATCAGACAAATAAGGCATTGCCCACATGAACGTCTCCTGGCCTGGCTGTCCTCTTCCTGGGAAGCTCAGATTAATGCAGGATTCCACACAATAAACAGGATGTTTTCTCATCGGTAACTTTTTGAATGCAAAAGCCCCCCCCCCCCCAAACTATGGTGATGGGCCTGAGCTCCTGTCTGGGTTTTGGGAAGGAGGGAGGGAATGCCTGGGTGTGAGCACCCTGGGTAGGTTTGCCAGCCCTGCCCCCACTCTCCCCCAGACCCAGAACCAGGAGTCCAGGGTGCAAATCCCAGCAGATTCCACTGCTGCCTGGAGACCTGGAGCAGGTCACTCCCCTCTCTGGGCTGTAGGCTGTTCTTCTGGGGTTCAGCAAGACCTCAGGACAGCCTTCTTCCCTTCTGCCTCGGGGCAGGCCACACCTCCTGGACGGACAGGTCACAGAGGTCTTCCAGCAAGAGGGGCCAGTGTGTGTGAGTCATCTCAGCATCTGTGATCTTTGCTACAGCGCTAGAATCAGTACCCAGTGGTCACACAGGGGTTGTTCCTCTACGCTATGGTCTGAAACTGTCCTGTCCTCCCACTGGCCTTCCTGACAAATTTCTGTCCCATGGCTGCCCTCTAGTGGCAAGAGGTGGTGGTGAGTAAACCGGAATCTGTCTGCCTGTGTTTCGCTTTCAGATGACCGGCAGATATGAGATGTACGCTCAGGAGCTCACCGAAGCTGTCAAACCCAACTACAGCCCCAATGTCGTGAAAGAGTAGCTGGATTTTAGCCCCTGCCCGCCAAGGAGGGCACCTCTGCCCCTGGCAGATCAGCAAGTACAGCAGGCTTTACACGCCCAAGTTCTCCCTGATGATGTCCTGATAACACTGTTGGTTTAAAAATGTTCCAGGCCGGGAGGGTAAATTGAAGAGTAACTGCAGTGGGTATGAGGTTTCCTTCCTGGCTGACGAAATGTTTTGGGGCTACACAGAAGTGATGGTTACACAACACTGTGAAAGTACCCATGTGAAATGCCACTGAATTGCATGCTTTAAAATGGCTAAATCCATGTCATATGAATTTTACCTCCATTTAAAAAGAAAAATCTCAGGCACTGATGGTGCAGGTGGATTTGCAGTTAGACACATGGGATGCCCTAGTCCTGAGGTTCCTCTCTTCCTCTGTTTAGACCGTCGGCAACCTGAGGGTAAGGGAGGGAGCGTATGTGCAAGTAGGGGAAGCTGAGGCTGATCCAGTCATTAAGCTACTCGGTGGCTGTGGGCAGGGGAGACAGTCACTGGATGTGTCAACATGGCTGCTGTCCCCACATATTCAATCAGACGCTAATCTGGGTGTTGCTATGAAGGTATTTTGTAGATGTGATTAAAGTCCATAACCAGTCAACTAAGCAAGTGAGATTATTCTAGATAATCCAGGTAGGCCTGATTCAATCAGTCAAAAGGCCCTCAGGAGGAGAGCTGAGGCTTCCCCGACGAAGAAGAAATTCTGCCTGTGGATAGCAACTTCCCCCACCCCTATGTGCCTGAGAGATCCCATTTGTTTTTCCTGACCACCTGCCCTACAGATTTCAGACTTGTCTCTCCAGCCCCCACAATCACTTAAATCAATGCCTTGCAATAAATCTCTTAATATATATCCTACTGTTTCTGCTTCTCTAGTTGGACCCTTGCTGATACAGATTCTGGTACCGGAACAGAATCTTCAGGACGAGTTTTCTGCATTGGTGCTAGGTTTTCTGGAATTCTTCTCTAATTTGTTTCATTTAAAGGCACTCATGACTCTATTTGCAGTGTTAAAGGGGGCCATGGTAGTCCATGGTATGATGTAGCAATAGAGATTTATAGAGAGAGCAGACCATCCGTCTGTGGCCCCCTGAGTCTCAGCCTGCCATTCCTGGTGGCCTATCCCATCTGTGGATTTTAGGCTTGGCTAACCAGTCCCCATCATCATGTAAGGCAATTCCTTGCACTAAATCTCTGTGTATCTATCTATCTATCTATCTATCCATCTATCTATCTATCTATGGATATGTGTGTGTGTGTATGTGTGTATACGTATGTATCTCCTGTATATATAAATATATCTGCATTCCCTATTGATTCTGCTTCTCTGATTGAGCACTGATTGCCTGACTGACATAGCATGTTACTCACCTCTCTGCACCCTGGCTTCCACATCTGTAAAGTGGGACCATATCTCCTCTTCTGCTTTATGTCACAGGACAGTGGTGAGAGACAGACTAGATGGGCCAGGGAGCCTATAAGGGCTCTGTTCCTTGCATCACACAGCAAAAGTCCCACCTGTGCTGAGAGCACCTGGGTGACTCAGTCGGTTGAGTGACTGACTCTTGGTTTCAGCTGAGGTCATGATCTCAGGGTCATGATCTCAAGGTCATGAGATCCAGCCCTGAGTCGGGCTCCTTGCTCAGCAGGGAGTTTGCTTGAGATTCTCTCTCTCTGCCCTTCCCCCTGCTTGCTCTCTCTCTCTCTCTCTCTCAAATAAATACATATTTTCTAAAAAAAAGAGTCCCTACTGTGAAATCTCAAACCTCTACAGTCGGCCACAGTGTTGGAGGTCAGAGTGGGGTCCTCTGGTTCTACCCTTACTGTGCCCGGTCAGAGAAGGCAGCTCATTCCTTCCCTGGCCCAACAGCTGAATTGCAGAACCCATCCCATGTCAGGGCCGGGGTGCTCCTGGACAGCCACCTGGGGAGAAAAACCTGGTTGGAACTGCCTGGTCATCCCTCTGTGTTAACCCCCTTAGCCTCTCTGAGCCACAGACTTTTCGCTTCATGTAAAAGCCCCCTTTGTACTTATTTTTCATAGAATCCAGCCCTGCAGATACAGTGAGCTTTTCTGTCTGGCCTTCAGTGTCCACAACTTTTGTGCCTGTGGTTTCTAAAAGGAGCGTGTAGTCAACCTAATACAGAAGCCAGCTTAGATAACAAGTTGGTGTATTTATGAAATGGGCACTAATACACCAGAAAGGATTTGATTCTCCACACCTCTCACTGCCTAAAATCAAAATGTTCAGGTCTGCCTTAGAGTAGATGGGACCTGCACACATGGACTCATTTGAGGGTTTAACTCATGTTTAGGTGCTCGGCAAACATCTGTTGACTGAACCTAGGGTGGAAGTGGTGTGATCGTTGCTGATGCCACAGAAGGGAAGTTGCAGGGGGCCTGTGGCCTTAGGGGTGAAGCCTCTGATCCTCTGAGCCTCAGTTTTCTCACCTCTAAGATGAGAGGTGACTGGGTTTGAGGCTTTTGAGGGTCTCTGCAGCTCTGCAGACAGCATTCCTGCCAGCCCATGGCTTTATTGCTAGAATCTGGGTTACCAGGGGAGGACAGTGCCAAGCCACAGTGTGCCTGACAGGAAAAAAGGCAAAGACATTCTCCAGGATAGATCACATGTTAGGCCACAAAACAAGTCGTGATAAATTTTAAAAGACTGAAATCATATGAAGTATCTTTTCCAATCACAGTGGAATGAAACTAGAAATAAGTAGCAGAAGGAAAATTCAAAAATCTATGAAAATTAAACCACACGTTTTTGAACAACCAATGGATTAAAATCACAAAGGAAATTAGAAAATGTCTTGGAACAAATGAAAAGAACGACAAAACATACCCAAACTTGTAGGATGCAATGAAAGCAGTGCAAGAGGGGAATGTATAAACACTTAATTAAAAAAGAAGGCAGGTGGGCGCCTGGGTGGCTCAGGCGTTAAGCGTCTGCCTTCAGCTCAGGTCATGATCCCAGGGTCCTGGGATCGAGTCCCACATCGGGCTCTCTGCTCCGCGGGAACCACTCCCCTTGCTTGTGTTCCCTGCTCTCGCTGTGTCTCTCTCTGTCAAATAAATAAGATCTTAAAAAAAAAAAAAAAAAAAAAAGGCAGGCACCTGACTGGCTCAATTTGTAGAGCAGGTGACTCTTGATCTCGGGGTCATGAAATCAAGCTCCACACTGGGCTTAGAGTTTATTTAAAAAAAAATAAAAATAGGGCGCCTGGGTGGCTCAGTTGGTTAAGCGACTGCTCAGGTCATGATCCTGGAGTCCCGGGATCGAGTCCCACATCGGGCTTCCTGCTCAGCGGGGAGTCTGCTTCTCCCTCTGACCCTCTTCCCTCTCGTGCTTTCTATCTCTCATTCTCTCTCTCTCTCAAATAAATAAATAAAATCTTTATAAAAATAAAAAAATAAAAATTTAAAAAAGAAGGATTTCAAATCAACAACCGAATTTTACATCTTAAGGAACTAGAAAAAGAAGAGCAAACTAAACCCAAGGTAACAGTAGCGAGGAAATAATAAAGATTAGAGCAGAGAGAAATAAAATAGAGAATAGAGAAACAATAGAGAAGAGCAATGAAAACAAAAGTTGGTTCTTCAAAAAGAATAACAAAATTGACAAACCTTTAGCTTGAGTGACTGAGAAAAAAAGGGAATCCCGACTGAAATTACTAAAATCAGAAATGAAAGTGGGGATATCACTACTGATTCTACAGAAATAAAAAGGATTATAAGAGTACTATGAACAATTTGTTAGAGGAGGTCATCAAGAGCATGTGATTGCCAGTTGACCCATGAGCTGGACCCAGGCAATCAGAGGCTCCTTCCCTCCCCCGCTGCTTCCCCCCATTCTTGGAATGTGCGTTCTGCCCACTGTTGCTACGCTAGGAGCTACTTCAAAGACACAGCTTGAGAGAGTAATATTAGGACCATCTGGGCAGTACATGTGACTGAACCCCGTTAAGATTTCTATATGAACTCTTAAGATTCTGGTGGACACGTGCAGAGATCTACTTGTCTTGTGGCCACTCAAGACGAGCCTCATATGTAAGTGGCCTTGCTTATTAAAACTGCCACCTACAATCTGGGAAGGTCTGCGTCTTTCTTCAGTCTCTCCTTGCCTTCCAGGTATGGGGACCAGTTTCAGATTTCACCTGGGGAGCTCCCACATTTGCAAACCAACACAACTGTCTGCCAACACATTGGACAACCTAGATGAAGTGGACGGATTCCTAGAAACATGAACTACCAAGACTGAATCATGAAGAAATAGAAAATCCAAATAGACCCATAACTAGTAATCAAAACCCATAATAAGTAATCAAAACCCCCTTGACAAAGGAAAGCACTGGACCTGGGGGCTCCACTGGTGATTTCTATCAAACATTTAAAGAAGATCTAACACCAGGGCACCCAGCTGACTCATTCAGAAGAGCATGCAACTTTTGATCTCAGGGTCATGAGTTTCAGCCCCACATTGGGTGTAGAGATTACTAAATAAATAAATAAGCTGTTAAAAAACGAAAGAAAGAACTAAAACCAATCCTTCTCGAATTCTTCCAAAAAATTGAAGAGGAGGGAGCACTTCTTAACTCATTGAGGCCAACATTACGTTAACATCAAAGCCAGACAAAGACACAGCAAGAAAACAAAACTACAAAGCAATATCCTTTATGAATATTGATGCAAAAATCCTCAGCAAAGTACAGTTGACCCTTGAACAATGCAAGGGTTAGGTGGGGGCACTGACTCCCTACACAGTCAAAAGTCCATGTATAACCGTCGACTCCCCAAACCTTAACTACTAATAGCTTACTGTTATCAGAAGCCTTACCAACAACATAAACAGTTGACGAGTACATATTTCATACGTTATATGTATTATATACTATATTCTTACAATAAAGTAAGCTAGAGAAAAGAAAATACTAAGAAAATCATCAGAAAAATACATATACAGTACTGTACTATAACCCCCCCCAAAAGAAATCCACATACAAGTGGACCTGTGTGGCTCAAACCTGTGTTGTTTGAGGGTC